AGCACAGCAAAAGCTCATAATTGACAATGTTGGAATAGTCTCATCATCATCAATGAAGAACCAATGTCGATATCCTATCTGGTTCTCGGCGCCCAGACTACAAATGACAGATCCTATCTAGCCTATCTACAGTGCCGCTGATGACGTCAACAGCTCCCCGAAGTACGAGCAGATCTCGGCCAATGCCGTTCGCCTCGAGCACCAGGTATGTCTTTCGTATCACTCACAACCTTGATCCCCAACTCACAAATGCCACATGCACCCAAGAACCACCATGCGCCCCATCCATCATTCAGCAGGGGAGCTTGGCTTTGGCTGCCTGCTCGTTCCAACTCGCCCGTGAGCGCATGAGCGCTGGCCAGCGTTAGCGCAGCAGCGCTTGTGCAGCATGCAGCCAGTGCCTGAATGACCAATGCGTGGGCAGGCCCTTCCCTATATCAAAGTGGCCTGCTGCTGCTGCGTGCGGTAATGCGGTACTGGGCCCCGGCCCAGAAGCTTCCGGTAGGCCCCGCGAGGCTGAGCCTCAGTACAGAGGAAACAGGCCCAGGGCCTGTGGTGGTTACCAGCGCCCAACCGCCCTCAGCCTGTGTTCGGTCCATGTTGTGTATCCAGCCCAGGGCCTGTCCCAGTTACACACGTGAAAGGGAAGCCTGGGCCTGGGCGCTTCCAACCAACTGGCGCTGCGCAACTGCCTGAATTTTCCCAGTTGCGTGGTGACCCCAAAATGGCCTGTAGGCCTCGATCGAGCCTGCCTTCACTTAGGGTGGCCGACTGTGTTGAAAATAGGGCCCAGTAGGGCGTATCGAGGCCTTGTGCCTCGCACAGACCATTTTGGGCCTGTTTTCAAGACAACCTTTGTTTGAGCTTCAACGCCAGGATCTAGCACGTTTTGGCATTGTCCAGCACTATATAAGACTGGCCCGCCCTGCAGGCTGCAGGTACTTCATAGGGACTTCTCAGGCACTTCACGTGCAGTTCAGGACGCAGGAGGTAGTCTTCAGGATTCGGCAGCAGCACTCTGGAGGAGCACTGCAGTAGTAGTAGTAGTGTTAGCAGTCATCTTCAGCACTGGGCGGTAGTAGGAGGTAGAGTAGTACTGGAGGGAGATAGAGATTGGGCGGAGGCCAGGGAGACTTACCTGCAGCGCCATAGCTCCAGCTCGTCGTCGAGGTACCTGCAGCACAGCGCCATCTTCACAGGTTAGTTCCTGGCACGTGTGTGTGTGTGTGTGTGTGTGTGTGTGTGTGTGTGTGTGTGTGTG